TGATCGTCTGCCAGAAACTGATTGCCGTCCGCGGGAGCGCGTGCAGCTGCTTAAAGCTGCAGCGCCTGGATTACTTGCGTTGCTACTTCTGTGCAACTGATATAACGTATAACTGCTGGATAATCTTTAAGGGAAAAATAAAACTGATAATATGCAATTTCCAACCTGCCAAAAAGTGATTGCTGCCTATAACTTGTCACTGAAACAATATTTCTGCATCACACTTGACTGATATAATTCCGAAGGACTGTGACACATTATATCCCAATCAGTCTCTGAATAACTTTTAAAGGACCATTAATACCCATAATATGCCATTTTCAGCTTGCCAAAAAATGATTGCGCCCTATAACTTGTCACTGAAACACTATTTCTGCTTCAAACTTGCTGCATGTCATTCAGATGGGTCATATGTCAAATATTATATCTCAAAAAGTCCCTTACAACTGCTGGATAATCTTTAAGGGAAAAATAAAACTGATAATATGCAATTTCCAACCTGCCAAAAAGTGATTGCTGCCTATAACTTGTCACTGAAACAATGTTTCTGCATCAAACTTGACTGGTATCATCCAAAGGGGTTTTATGTGACACATCATATCTCAAACAATCTCCAAGAACTGCTGAATCACTTTTAAAGGAACATTAATACCCATAATATGACATTTTCGACCTGCCAAAAAGTGATTGTGGACTATAACTTGTCAATGAAATACTATTTCTGCTTCAAACTTGGTGGATGTCATTCAGAACCGTCATGTGTGACCTATTATATCTCAAACAGTCCATTAGAACTGCTGAATAACTTTTAAAATAACATCATTACCGATAATATGCCATTTTCAGCTTGCCAAAAAGTGATTGTGGACCATGCAGCCTCCCGTGTGTCGAGCCCATTATACTAAACTAAAAAAACGACCTATTTTTAGACAATCTGACAACTTGTCAAAACAGCAGTTTAGTAATCCGTGAGAGGGAATGTGCTTCTGAACATTAAAAACCCACAAAAACATGAGATCCTTTTGCTGTCGGTGGAAGTCTCACATATTCAATTGATAAAAAGTATCATTATGTAGCTGAGAGAGAGAGATGAAGGCTGCACGAGTAACGAGATTGGCGCAAAAAGGAGCCGCTTCGCTGGGAAAGCAGTGGCGCGAACGGAGTAACAACAAATAATTAGACAGATAATGATGGTAAACTTCATATTTTGGAGCGATCCGGACAGATATATTGTCTCTGCAGTTTAGTAGGCTTTTATCAGGCTTATATAAAGGATGATGAGAAGGATAAATGTCCACTAGGCAGTTCAGATAGTACGGCTGTTTTTTGAACTGGAAGCAGAGGAAGTGGACGGAGACTCACAGCCGGAGGATGATGATGATGATGTGGCAGATCCACAGGTCTGTCTTCGCTCACGTCCACACGTTCACGCCACGCCCCTTGTCTTCTACTACGTTCGCGTCTCACAACAACACAATAGGCGCACCGCACCATAGGGCGCAGCGTACATTTTGGAGAAAATTTAAGACTTTTAGGTGCTCCTTATGGTCGTGAAAATATGATAATTCATGTTTTGTAACACACAACTTTCATTTTGTAATGCGTAACTTTAGTTTTGTAGCATGTAATTCTCATTTTGTAACATATAACTTTTATTTTGTAAGTTGCAGAAAACAATCAATGTACAACAGGGGTGTCAAACTCAAACTCACACGGGGCCGAAATGAAACTCTGGGACGGAGTCGAGGGCCAAACTTAATATTTTTTGAAAAAGTGACGGCAAATTTAAACCGCACTTAGACACTGATGGCTGAGGGTGTAAGTGGGGTGGTGCGGTGGCATCAGCTGGCATATGCTGGATGATGCCCGCACTGCCCACTCACCACAGCCATGGAATACACCTCATGATCACACAACACTATATTGGAGCAGGCGGAGGGAGACTAGGGGTCTTAGCCACCTCTGTTGTTGCTGGGCTTCCTGGGGCTGGAGGCTAGGAGGGAGATATGGCCGTCTGGTTGGGGTCTGGGGTGGTGGGTTGCTGTGCTCAGCGTTGGGCGGGGGAGCCTGCTCATCAGCACCCCAGCAGAAAGGGTCAAACTCTGGTTACCGGTGATGTTGTACCCAATGTGCAGCAGTACCGGGACCAGAGTGAATAGGGGGTGTATGGGGAGCATGAGTGGGTGTCCGGCGTGCATTTTTGTAAGTCTTGGGTTGTATGTGCATGTGTGAGCATGAGGGAGGGAGCGTGTGACTGTGTTTGTGTATGACTGTATATGTCAGGTGGGGCCTTTGGGTCCTCCCCTCTCCTGGAACTTCTCTTGATGATATAGATCTTCGTCCCCCCTCCCCCTGCCACACCTGGTGTGGGGGCTTGTGCCTTGGTCTGCCTGAGTGTTCGTGGCAACCGGATCTGGGGGTTTAAAGATTTTGGCATCTGCCTGTTAGATCCCGGTGGCTGCCTGGTGGCGTCTGGGTCCCTGGGCTCTGCTGGGTCCCCGGCGGGGGTGGTCGCCCCTGGGTCCCGGGTCGCTGGGTCCCGGGCTCGGCCGGCTGGGGGTGGGAGGCAGTGGGCAGTGCGGCAATCATGATGATTGGCTGGTCAGATAAAGCCTGTCATTGGTTCTTTGGGAATGAAGTTAGAATTGGGACAAAATGTTTTGTACTCGTAAACTTGAGTTTTGTAACTGTAGACTGAGATGTGTGTTTTGAGAGTTGTGATTTGAAACTTGTACATTGATTGTTTTCTGCAAGTTACAAAATGAAAGTTTCATGTTACGTACCAAATATTATGTGTTACAAAACTATAGTTATGTGTTACAAAACAAGAATTACATGCTACAAAATGAAAGTTACAGTTACAAAACATGTTACATGTTACAAAGCTTGGTACAAGTTACATATAATATTGTCCCAATCCTAGTTCCATACTCCCTCTACTGGGAGCTCATAGTAGACCTGCACATAGGATGCAAACCTGATCTCAGTCAACTGATCTTCTGGACATATTCCACTGAGAGGAGATCCTGGGGAGACCTATCAGTTGAACAGCAGCAAAGAAACTGCTCCAACTGGTCCTCGGGGACCAGGATTGACACCTTCGGTCTAAAGAGTATTTTCTGTTTGTGAATTTGCCCAAAATGACTGCATATAAATCAAAATTGACAGAGTTATCAGGATTTAATGCTGGGAGCAGCGGGCAGCAGAGCTTTGGTCGAAATTGATTTCGGAGAAGAAAATGTGGAGCCTGCTGTGTTTTTTCTCTTAGCAAAGAGACAGGCGTGATTCAAAACAAGACTTTCCATCACCTTCATCACAGATATGTATTTGGCTTGTTCAGGCCCAAACAGGGTGCAGCTCTGTAGCTCAGTGTTTCATTTCCATCCTATTTGACTTTCTGATCCTTTAGTTGCACATTTGGGTTGAAAAGAGAGTGTAAACTAAGTCAGGACCTGTGTTTCCATGTAAATGACACACTGATCCTGCTGTAAATGTTTTTTTTTATTAACGTTATTAATATGACAGTGTTGGCCTCAAGAACTGTGAACACAGAATTTTATGAATGCTTGTTATGAAAATGTTTTAGTTTTGGTGTGAGTAGTTCCTTCTTCTCCTAGCTCTGAGGATTGTGTCTTGTCCTGTTTCTCAGCATAGATCCTCCTGATCCACGCTTCTACAGATTTTGTTTTATTTTATCATAGAAAACATTCTTCTGACAAGTCTGCATCTTCTCTTTATACAAGACAAATAATCACACAAAGCATTGCCTAATTGTTTGTCAAAAGTAAATTACAGATCTTTATGAATACTTTCTGTTTAAAATGATCTAAAGCTGTGCAGTAGTTATGATGGAAGTATAAATACCAAAGAGCCAAAGGGAAGAAGGTGTTGCTACTTTAATTCATAAAAGTAAAAAGCATTAAGTTAGAGAGGTGCTGCAGGAATTAATGGATTTCAGCAGGAATCAGTAAAAAGCTGTGTGGGACAGTTTTTACAGGATCCTTCAGACTAAATGGGAAAACAAATGCTGGGGAAGATGACCTCCATCTTGGAAAACCCCTCCCACCCACTGAATCCCACGGTGGAGACCATGGACAGCTCCTTCAGAGGCAGACTGAGACATCCCAGATGTAAAACTGAACGCCACCGTAGGTCATTCATCCCCTCTGCAGTACGAGTGTATGACTCCTCACTTTAACTGGTACTGGCAATATCCTGGTACACAATAACATCAATGCAATATTCAAATTGTGTTTAATACTTATGCAATACCAGATGTACACCATAAGTCTTTTGCTGCATAGTTCTGGAAACACAAGTTTCCTTTTTATTTGTTGTTTTTAGTGGTTGAAGGTTACAATAATAGCTTACTGCCTTTGTGTGTTTAGCTCCTATCGTGTTATTATTTTTCTTCTTATTCCTAAATGTGTGCGCTGCTGTAGCAAGTGAATTCCCGACTGTGGGATCAATAAGGTCTGTTCTATTCTATTCTATTCTATTCTATTGTAGTCTATTCATTAAGAGTATTTCAGATTTGAGGTTGTTTATTGGAAATCAGATGTTTGGTGCCCTCATGTGGCAGAACTAGGATTGACAACAGTGTTGCAGCATTCAGCTATTAAAAACACGTGTAATGACATTGTAATAAGTTAGAAAATAACATAGTACCTTTAGACGATGCTGGTTGGAGGTATTTTTATTCCTAATTATCTTTTTTATACCAATTATCCCAGTTTTGAGAAAAAAGTGACTGACGGTGAATTCCTCAGAGCAACTTTTACTTTGGTGTTTACCTAACTGCTTTCATCTGTTTCCATCCCAGAGTTTCATTATGTCGCTTTCTGTCCTTTCAGCTTTTGTTCCAACGTCATAAATGCAGTGGTCCTGTTGAAAGGAAGTTAACCCCATAACCACACACACACACGTCCATGACGTCCAGCTCAGTTTGACTCAGGTCATCCTGCTTCCTGAGGGAGGGTCTGAGAAGCCTGGGAAACTTCTCCCACTTTTTTCAGTCTCAGCGAAGCGTTTTAGAGACAAGCCAGCGGAGCAAAGAGACATTAAACAGTCCAGCTGAGACCAGAGGGACAGTAGGGGACAGGACCACTTCAACTCATAGAAAGGTATGGAGACCAGATCACACAGGTATACAAATGTATATAGTTTATTTAGTCACAATAGTTTAAATAAGCTGTTTATCTTCTTCTTCTGTGAAATGATTGGTGTTGAAATATTACCCAGAATATCGAGTAAAATCTTAATCTATGATTAAAACATCAGAAAATCTATTTTCCCAGAATTACTTTTGACAAAAACCATAGAAATGTGTAAATATTTTAACATCTAACTAACATTACCTCCTATTCTACCTTTTATTTAGAATAAAGAGATTTTGTGTGTCTTCTCTATTCTGTTATTTTTAATTCTCATTTAACTCAAACACATGATTGCTTTTGTCTACCACGGCGTGGTTTATAGAGACAGAAATACATTTTAATGCATCAAATAATTCTGAGTTCTGAACCAGCCCTGGTTTCATTTTACTCATCAGATGAAGGAAAATCAACATCAAATCATTAAAGGCATAAAGAGACATCACAGCAATGAAAACACTCTAACACAGGATGTTTATTCAGACGTGTGTGTGTGTGTGTGTGTGTGTGTGTGTGTGTGTGTGTGTGTGTGTGTGTCTGTCCCTATATGTTAGGTAATCCTGGTTATCTTTCACCATGAATCTATGAAAATGTCCATCGAAAAGTTGTTGAAAATTAATTTTGTTGAAAATCATCACCAGCCAGCTTCGTAACATACGTAATACTCACACTTCCACATTTGCACCATTGAATTGTGCGATACCAGCCAGGGGTGCGAGTGCGTACCGTGTCACGATTCTCAAGCGCGGAAGTTGATCACGCCCCTTTTGCATCAATGATCTGCACTTCACCCAGGTCCACATCGCTGTTGACTTGGGAGAAGGGTATTACCCACAATCCATTGCTGTGGGAGAAAAGGCTCAAATGCATTTTCTGAAAATGTGTATTTTTGAATGAAAGTAGTTCATTTTAGGACGATTAGCTGATGCTCTGAATTTTTCAGACAAACCAGCAATAAATGTAAATTTATTTAAAATGACTGTTTTGATGTTTGTTTGAAAGTTGTTAAGACAGGTTTTTAATAAAAGTAGCACAGCAACCAGCATCCCGGCCTGCGTTGGGCCGATGTCGCCATGCTCCCGGTGCCAATTCTGCAATTATTTGCACACTTGTGTACCACGCTCTCGAAGCCCTATACTTCCTCCAAGTGCATTCCACAGAAGACTGTGAGTGTTGAGATCGGGCCATATTAGACATCATGTTTCCTTCTACGGGAGCCCGTGAAGACAAATCAAATATACTGGTTTGTAACAAGCAGTAACAAAACTTTCATCATTCATAAACATTGATGTTTTACACATTTACCTCTCCACCAGGGAGGAAAGGGAGTCTAATGTGCTTGTTATTTTGCTGGAGGTTGTGCTCGCAGGGATTTTTGACCCTAATGACCATCCGTTGGTAAGGTCTTACTCAAACACAAAATTACCGCTTGCTTGCAATGATTTAGGTATGTACTGCCCCCTATTGCCATGGAAAATACACACCATCACTTTAAATACAGGTGTCAACTCTGGTGTGTGTAGGAATGAGTCTGTCACATCATCACGGAGGAGTGATACGCCTTCCAAAAAGTTCTACTTTTGTCTCACCAGTCCAGTTTACGCCCTGCACAGCGTTAGATGTTGTTCTCTGTACTTTTGATCTCGAATCTCTTTAGAACGGGGCAGAATGTGTTGCTTCTTAAGATCTTTTAGTCATGTTGTCAGAGGGGTTCTAATGAAGTCATTTGTAGCGTGTTGGGTTGTTGCTACATATTATTAAATGATCAATAAGATGTGATGTTCCATATAAATATGAATTATCAATCTGATTGGTCTTTGAATATTTGATTTAATACTACCTTAGTTTTTTTTTTTACTATTCAGGCAACACACACACATATTAACTCAGACATAGTTTATAAAAATGAATTTAATTCTATATTTCTAAACTAATGATCATACGCGACAAAGTGTGAATGAAATGATGGAATGTTAACTAGATGTTTGTAGCAAAACCTTATTAAGTATCTGAGAGATCTTGTGATGTCTGAGTTGTAAAATCAGTTTGGCTGTAAGGTTTAATAAGCTGTAGATTATTCATAAAACCATCAGACGCCAGTGTGCAGATCTACATACCCTTTTGTGTTGAAGGCCCTCATTCAGGGGGTCAAGAGGTCGGAGTGGACCTCTGAGTAACAGAACCCGTACAGCTCCGAGTACGACCCTTCTGCTCTGAGATACCTTCCAGGTGACGGCAGAAAGCTGCTGTGTCTATTTTGCATCTGATGCACTCGCAAGTGTTGCAGACAGGCTTTGAGTTTGAGTCAAAAGAGAGGATGGTCCCAAGTGCTTGCTTACCGAAAGGCGGCGTAGAACTGACTAGATCAGGAAGTGATCTCGATTTTTATTAACTGTTTTTGACAAATTTAGACAAATCAAAATTTGACAAGTTTAAAAGGCGTTACCAAAAAAACTCTGGAAATCACTCCCTCACTCAAATGCTTAGAGGTTATTTCTTAGTGTGAATCATGAAGGTTTTAACCATTAATGGTAATACGGTGACATTACTGTGTTCATACTGATAGATTAAATTATTAAATTCAACAAACACTGATCTGGTGTAACTTAAGATCTCAAATGAATCATTACAGGAAAAATGTTAATTTTTACTCATCATTCATTCATGTGGAGTATTGGACACATTATTCAAACACTTTGGATTTAATCAAATTGTTCATTCAACAAAATATGATTATTTGAAGTTTTAAAGCCATTTATATGAGCCAGGGATGACGAGCTTTGTTCAAAGAGGACAGATAAGAAGTCCTGCATCTTGCAGCCTTGAGGACTCATGACGTACGCAGGACTGGTTAAGAATATCGGCTCAAGTTCATTTCTTCTTATCGCCACCTCGGTGTCAGATTGACCTGTATGAAGATGTTTGGCCTTTAAGTTAAAAGTTAACTCATTTTTGATGAAAAAAGTGGCCTTTTGGCACGCTACACATTTATTACTTCTGCAGGTGTGGGTGTGGCTGGTGCTCATTGATAAATGTGATTAATGAACAAAGTGGGACAGTAGGTTTTCCATAAGAGCTCTTTTCTCTGAGCAAATAAAACCATCATTTGAAAACATCAATTTGTTTTTACTCAGACAGTCTTTGATGGTCTGAAACATTAAACTTTACTTCAAAAGAAAAAACATGTCTCCTGAATTAAATGACCCGAGTTGTGCTGTGGAGCAATAAAAGCTTCAAATTAAACCGTGTTTCCGTTCTTCAACGTCTCCACGAGGAGGAGGAGTTGGAGTTTCTGTGAACAACATGAGCTCATGGAAGAACTAATAAAGCACAGCAGCCAAATCTGAGTGAAAAGGGAAGCGTCATGCTGAAGCAGTTGGAGAAACGTGGCATGTTTGTTCCTCATTAAAAGGTGTTTATTAAACCCTCATGGATCCTGTGTATACGGTCTAAGTTTTGGGATCTGCAACTTTCACTCACCTTATTGTAAACCACTAGGAAAACATCTGTTTGTTAAAAAGAACAATAAAACCAACGTTTAGTGCCTACAGAAACAGACGATGGTGTCATTTGACTTCAGTCATATCTGTGTCCATCTGTCCCTCCCAGGAGCGGAGGATGTCCAGAGCTGACTGGTCCTTCCTGGAACACCTGCTGGAGGAGGGCCAAGAGTACTCAACAGCTATTGGCCGAGTTTGGCTCACAGTGCTCTTCCTGTTTCGTATGCTGGTTCTGGGAACTGCTGCTGAGTCGGCGTGGGATGACGAGCAAGCTGACTTTGAGTGCAACACAAAGCAGCCCGGCTGCACTGCCGTGTGCTACGACAGAGCCTTCCCCATATCCCATTTCCGCTACTTTGTCCTCCAGGTCATCTTTGTCTCCACGCCGACTATCTTCTACTTTGGATACGTGGCCGTAGGAGCCAGGAATGTTCTCAGAGACACAGAGGATACGGATGGGAACGACGGGAGGAAAACGGGTGTGACTGATTCTGGTTTTAAGGAGAAAGAGAAAGACAAAACTGGTGAGAATGGAATAAATTCTACAAAATCCTTTTCTGAGGCTCCTAAACTGAAAGGCAGGCTGCTGGGAGCATACGCCTTCAGTATCCTGGTCAAAGTCCTGCTAGAAGCTGGATTTATTGCTGGACTTTGGTTCCTATATGATGGATTCTTCATTGCAGCCAAGTTTGAGTGCACAGGTTTCCCGTGTCCTCACACTGTGGACTGCTTTGTCTCTCGGCCCACAGAGAAGACCATCTTCACCATCTACACCCAGGTGATCGCTGCAATATCTCTGCTCCTCAACATCGTCGAGCTCCTCCACCTGCTGATGCTGGCCGTTTCCCTTCGGCTGAAGAAACGGAACTACCTACCTCGGTTTGAGCCGGTCCCCTCGGAGCAGCACATGGAGGCGTCGCAGGCGTACAGCACAGGGAGGCTAGGGGAAAGCTCGTTACCCAGCAACCCCTGTGAGAGCTATGCTGACTCGACCACAGAGGTTAACTGGGAACCAGGAGAGGTCGGGGACAACCTGCTCCCAAGTTATGTGAACTGCACACAAGATATAAGGAAAACTAATAAACACTTCCAGCAAACTGGGAAAAATCTGAACAGCTCTTTTAATTGGCAACAAAAAGATTATGTTTGAGGCTCATGATCCCGCACACGACACTAGACTAGCAGCAGTCACTCAGCTCGGTGGAAGCTCTGCCTCACGGGCCCTTTCTCAATACTCGCTAGTACGTTCTTGTGTACTTAACAAGCACAGCAGGAAGTCCATTCTACCGAGTGGAGGACGAGCACGGCATTTGGAACAGAACTGTACTCCGTGGCGTTGTGGAACGATCTGACATAAAAATAAATGTTTCGTTTGTCCGTTAAATAACAATGAATACATAGGGCTTGTATAATATTTAGTCCAGTCTTGATCAAATTTTGTGTGTGTGTGTGTGTGTGTGTGTGTGTGTGTGTGTGTGTGTGTGTGTGTGTGTGTGTGTGTGTGTGTGTGTGTGTGTGTGTGTGTGTGTGTGTGTGTGTGTGTGTGTGTGTCCTTGCAAGGAAATTGAATTGTAGGCACATTCTCTTTGGATTTGCACTGAACCCCCACCCCACCTTAATGGTTCTGTTCTTATCATGGGATGCACTGGTCTCTGGGTCCTGCTTGATTCCCAGAAGGATAATTGCTGCAGATGCACATTATATTTTTCCATTTGCACCCAGTGACTTCTGGTCACTCACAAGTCAGGGGACATGAGCTACGTTCACAAGTGCCAAAATTCCCCTATCAGATTAAAATCTTGGTTGATCTGAAATCCCAAATCTCTGTTTACATGGACACTAACTGAAATGATCTGGTCATGCTTTGAGTATACATGCACCAAGCATTCAGTCAGGTTAAATTGGTTGAGCATGCGCAGAGTTGTCTTTCCTGGAAAATAATTGTAAACAAACGTCGTCTTGTCCGCATATATTTCCCCTTGCGTTTTATTTCCTTGTTGTCTAGCTTTATAGTTTGCATTTTTACCTGTATGCTTTTGTTTTTGCTGATCGCTGTGACTAAGCTACAGGCTTAGCGGTAACGCTACAGGAGAGGAGAGCAGGACAACTTCAGATACGGTATCTGTATTAAGAGGCTTGCTTACTAGAGATAACCCCAACCAACATCCACACAGTTTACGGACATGTCAGACAGCGGCTTACTCCCCATCATCTCGGCCATCTGCTCGTAGAACTCAAAGCTGGCGGGGTCAGTCCCACTTTTGCCAATTAGAGTTTTTGCCTTGTAATATGCCACTTTCAAACGATTTCCAGCGATTTTTTATTTGGTCGATACTTCGGTGAATTCCCTCTTCCTGCATCTTTAGATGTACTTAAGTGTATAACCCGGTGTTTCTAGACTTTCGGCCATCGAGACGTTCAATAATATTGAGCTTCCATAGTGTTTCCAGTAAGAAAATAGTGCCAGCAACAGACCGCTTCTGTTTACCTCTCGCCATGTTTTGGACTTGTCCTGAGCATCTGCAAAGGCGGAAAGCTGAAGTTGTACACATGCACAGTGGGCATTGTTTTACTCTAATAGTTGGAATGATGATCAGACAAACCAACCTCTCTCAATCAGACACATGAAGAATATTTGATCTAATTCATTTGGATCACTTGTGCCCATGTAAATATAGCCATGGTTAGCCTCAGGGTTTGTTTCTGGGTGCTAGTTCTGGTCTTTAGGGCCTTACATGGACAAGTACCATCATACGTTGATGATCTTCCCAGTCCTTACACCTCCAGCAGGTCCCTGAGGTCCAGTGACCAAAGCCTACTGGTTTTGGCACCAGGCTAAAAACCAAAAGGTGACAGATCATCTGCTGCTGTGACCCCCAGACTCTGGAACTCTCTCCCCCTGAGCCTGAGATCAGTGGACTCAGTGGTCTCCTTTAAGAAGCAGCTGAAAACTCACTTGTTCAGGTTTTGGTGGGACGTTGAGCTGATTCTTCCTCACTACCTTCTCCTAATCCTGTATTACCTTTTCTTAGTCATTTTCGTTCTTCCTACCAATTATATATGTATATATATATATATATATATATATATATATATATATATATATATATATATATATATATATATATATATATATATATATATATAATTTATTTAATGTTCCCATTTTTTACTACAATTTTTTTAAATTAATTGTATATATATAATTTTTTTAAGCTTTTGTTATATTATTTTTTTGTTCTCGTGAAGAGAATCATGACTTTTATCTTGAGAGGTGCTAATAAAACACAGTTTCTTCTTCATGGAACCAGGACAGCGGGGGAGGAAAGAAGGATTCTGATCATAACATTTCAGCTTCAGAGGAACTGGAGACCAAGTGCTAACTTTTACTCTAACTCAGAAGTAGCATCATTTCTGCCTGGACATGAAGCGGTACAGAAACATACAGGTTCACTGACACTACGTGATAAATGGAAAACCTTCTAAACTTTATTTTGTAAAGAAATAACAGTGTTGATATTTACTATTTTGAGAACATTAAAATGTAAAAACTAAAACTATCAGCTCATGGTTGTTTTTGGAATCAAAGGACTTTTATTTTTAACATATGATGCCTCTGAGTTTCACATGCAGGCTGAATAAGAAAATGCATTTATCACCTGCATTAGCTTCTGATAGGAAACGCTCGCATTAGGAAAGCCACTCAGATCTACGTCACACTGAACATTAACATTCATAGACTCGTGACAGGGAAGGCTGTTGTTGGGTTAGTGTCTAGGAGAGTGCAGAGCACTTCGCAGCTTGTAGGAATCACCTGAACGAGGGAAGTAAATTTATCTGTTTTTACATAAGCGGGCTTCAGCTTTGCAGGAAAGGAGATTATCAGACTGATCTGAGTGTGTTTGTGCCATTTGGAGTGCCCCCCACCACCACCACCACCACCACCACCACCACACCCACCACCCCCACCACACCGAGAAGTCAGACTTTTAATGATTTTCAATTCTCAAACTGATAAAATCCAGACGTCAACAAGGGTTCTCATCCATGCTCTTATAAAATGATGTGATATTTATTTTTGGATGCAGCACAACAACACCTTTAGTAATTTACTGAAGCGTTACCATGGTGGCAAGCAGTTAATTGGAAATTGAAGCAAGCCGGGTTTTTTAAAGCATTTAAACTGTGTGTGAAGTCAAAGATATCCTTTTAATAATTTGATGATGACTTAAGTCTGAATGATGTCTCAGCTGATAGAGAGGAGCCTGTTTCCTTTGCCAACCTGTGATGAAGAGACATTTGTTTTTGGTGCCAAGTTCAACGCCTGCTCATGCTGGCATTGTTTGTTATCTCAGTCTCCATGTGATCTCCACATGTGATTACTGCACAGAGAGCTAGCTAGCAGGGGTCATGGAACACATTGCTGCTGTCCGCCCAAAACAACAGAGCTGCTTTTTCCCTCATGATCAGTGAGGGGAAAAACACACAGTTAAGGCAGATAGTACAGGTTATCAGAACTCTTTCAGCAAAATGGGACAAAAATAAAGGTTTCCTTGGATTAAACCTGATGATCAATTATTAGACTTGATTCTGTAATAAAGAATCTTTAATGTCTGCCTCAAATACAACCAGTGCAACCAATGAAAGTGAGTTCAATTTAAATCTGTTCAATTTAAGTAAAAAAAAAAAACTTTCTCTGCAGCTTTTTGATGAGAAATCCTTAAAAGTTAGACAGGGATGGTCTGAGGTCAAGCGTCACCACGACTGTTTCCTGACATTGTTGAAATCTCTGCTGATACGTTTCCTCGGTCTGTTGCTCAGCCACACTTCTCTGATAATAAAAGAGAGGGAGTTGTTTGGTTGTTGATGTCCGTCTAAAAAACAGCTTTTATGCTGCAAACCAAAGGGTACTAAATGGTCTTTAAGCTAAGTCTTGGTGGTATGAATGAAACCCACGTCCAGAGCATCTCTCAAGAGTTCATCTGCACTCGGTTCAAAGAGATTTTTATCGTGTCTGCTATACTGATGAAAAGACTTCGAGGCAAATAATTCTCATGAACCCAAACATTCACATGGATAGAGACCAGCGGGCCTTAAAATAGCAGCTAGAGGTTGGACAAGGTCAAGAAAGTTATGTCAGATCTCTGTTCCTGGATAAAAATAGACTTTGTTTTCCATCACACTGCATGGACCCCTTTTCTAATCCACTCATGTTGTGGAGCACCTGTTTGAGGACAATCCAAGCATGTGCCAACTCCTGCTTCTTTTTCTAGACATCACCCTGAACAATACAGACAATTTGTCTGTATTATAAACAATGTTACATTCATGCACAGTGCTTCTAATCTGGGTATTTGGAAACTCAACAAAACAAAACCAAAAATGATTTGACAAGTTACCAAATTTAAACACTGGACAGGAAGTAGATCAGCATCTGTTTCCTGTTCCAGCATTGTTGGTCTGCAGAGATTGGTGGACAGGAATTGTTTTACCTGACAATGGTGCTGTGGTGGGTATTGTTACATTGTTTTGTCTTTTCTCCCTCGTGTTTTTTTAACTAATGTTGCAGATGCTCAATCAGGAACAGACATGATGGAGACAATTAGACAAAATGTCTTTTGTGAGTCTGGAGTCAATAAACTAAATAAAATTAAAGCTAAAATCATCACACACTGGTGAAATTCATCTCTGCATTTGACCTATCTCCGTGGGGAGCAATGAGCTGCAGCTGTGGCGCCCAAGTCCATCCCTTAATGCTGGGTGTTTAAACCCCAATCTTCCAGTCCCAGGGTAGACACTCTACCACTAGGCCACTGAGAAGGTCTTAATATGTGTGTGTGTGTGTGTGTGTGTGTGTGTGTGTGTGTGTGTGTGTGTGTGTGTGTGTGTGTGTGTGTGTGTGTGTGTGTGTGTGTGTGTGTGTGTGTGTGTGTGTGTGTGTGTGTGTGTGTGTGTGTGTGTGTGTGTGTGTGTGTGTGTGTGTGTGTGTGTATTAGGGATGGGACTCAATAAAAAAGAATTATCTAATTAATTAGAGGCTTTGTAATTAATTAATCTAAATTAATCACATTTTAATTGTTCAAGAAAATGTGCCCTCAAAGCTATTTTTTATTAAAATTATGAAACAGGCAATCAAACAATAGACTTTATTATTGTAAACTAAAGCTTTTAATTATCAAAATCAACTAAAATAGTGATGAGTTTCCTAAATCCTTCATCAGTCCAAGCAAGACAATTCCTTTCTGTTTTAGTAGCCATTAACAGAGCATATGTATATATATATATATATATATATATATATATATATATATATATATATATATATATATATATATATATATATATATATATATATATATATTTACATTTACATTTATAATGTGTATGGTATAAACGTATGTTAGCAGATCAGTTCATAGCATAAGGAACCCTGTCTCAAGCTTGTCCATACAGGATGTTGGACTGGTCCTTCTTAAAGATCGAGCCACCAGCATCACCTATACCCATCATCTCCATCATCCCAGTAGAACAAAGGAGGGCCTCCTCACATCCTCCTCTTTTTTCCAGAAACCTTTGCTCTTGGTTCCCACAGTACCGTCCCGATCTGATGAGCTGGGCCTTTGTTAGATAACTGACCTGTCGCCCTGATTGTTCCCAGGAGGGCCAGTACACACACTCAAACTCACACACACGTCCACAAACCAGAGCCCTGGTGAGCTCTCAGAGCTGCCTCACCACCACTTCTCCATCCTAACTGTTTCTGAGTGGAAATTCCCACCAGCTCAAAGTAATTGCTTCTTCCCAAGGTCACAATACGTAAGTGGGTCGTTTCTCTGATAGCAAACCTGAGAGAGAAGTTAAGGTGGCTGTAGACAGAGCAGCATTCAGCACTCTGGTGGAGGTGTGGGACTCATAATGGTTCCCATTTCATCAGCTGACAGGGTCACATAGCAGAACAGCTTCAGAAAAGTGGATGAGATGAAAATCGAAGACAAAACAGTTTTTAAAACTAATGTTGCTAAATATCATCCTGTTCGGCAGATCATAACCACACTTTTAGCTGCATTATAAACACTGCTGTGTTCTACTCCATAGTCACAGCAGATATCTGCTAGCTGCTGTGCTGGGACGTAAAACCACTGAGTCATCTGCATACATCAGTTCAATTCAATTCTATTCAATTTTATTTATATAGCGCCAAATCACGACAAGAGTCATCTCAAGGCACTTCATTCACATAATAATCATTCCAATCCAGGTCAGTTCATTAGGCCAATCAGAAAAAACGTTTCCTATATTAGGAACTCAGCAAATTGGTTTGCTGCTTATTTTTCATCGCTAATGGATGAGAATAAGAATAATCCTAAATTTCTTTACAGTACAGTTGCCAAACTTACACAGAATCATAGCTCTGAACCATCTATTCCCTTAGCCCTCAGCAGCAACGACTTTATGGGATTTTTTACAAGTATAATTAATTCTATTAGAAGTAAAATCTTTAGCATCCTCCATAATGTGATTTCTTCTTCCTCAGCAAGTGGGGCAGCATCAAAGGTAACTGTAGAACCTCATCTGTGTTTGAACCGTTTTGATCCAGTTGAGCTTTCAGAGTTAACAAAATATTGTCAGGCTGATCAGACTGGATGAAGGAGACGAACAAGGTGAGACGTTTAACAGTTTTATTATTTCTCTGTGAGGAAGAAACGATGACTGAGATGAGAAGCCGGTCACGGCGTCTTCCATATATAGCCTTGCTTGGCTGTGACGTGGAGGGAATCCCCGCGAGGAGCACGCTGGGAGCTCCCCACGAGGGGCATGTCGGGAGTTGTGGTCCGAAGGTCAGCCGGGAGATACCTGAGTCCTGACAGGACCCCCCGGTCCAGGGACGGCTCCAGAAGTCCCAGCGCGACCCCGGCAGACCCAGAAGTCAGAGATCAGGGAAGGGTCCAGGATGGACCGAGCCGGCTCCCAGGAGCGTTCCTCTGGGCCATAGTCCTTCCAGTCCACCAGGTACTGCCAGCCCCGACCCCTGCGGCGAGCGTCCAGGATGCGCCGGACGGTGTAGATAGGC